TGAAATAATAATTCGAGGGAAAGGAATTTAAAAAATCTTCATTGTGCCTGTCCCCTTATTGGCTCCTTGGGTACTCGTAGAGAGGGACATCGAATGCAACTGTGCATTTTTGCAAGTTGGGTCACACTCACTGTCCGACAGTAAATCCCCCCCATTACAAAATACATGTACATACAATGTAGGGCGGAAATAATGCCGCCCAGCGCTCCAAAGGAACGGGTTAGCCTTTTGACAGTTTTGTGTGTATGTGTGGGGGGGGTGTCGGATCAGGTCGACATTCAAGACAATGACCAGAAGCGGTTTTCTTTTAGGGTTTGATATGCTACATTTTTAATCAGTCCTTTCCCGAAATTATTAAGCATGCTTTTGCCCTATGCAGAATAACAGGTGAATCGCTGGACTGGTGGGCAACTTAAAGAGCATAACACTGCATGGGTAAACAAAACCACTTTCTAAAACTGTTGGGCAAAAAGAGACAAGTCTACCTATAACAGCGCCTGAAAGTTGACCCCTGATGGTGCGCTTCCGGAACACTTGGATAGGATAAATAACGAGCAAAGATGTTATAATTAGCTGTTTCGGCAACTCACGAAACAGGTATTGGTTTTCTGATTTTTTTAGCTGTTTTGGCAAAAGCTGGAACAGCTCTTTCTTTTCGAGTCTTTCAAGTATTGACGGTGTATCCTTTGCTGCAGTTAAAAGCCTGTTCATAAGTTGTGCACTGTACGTGAGCAAAGAGTCCAGCATGGTGGATGGTAAACACATAGTTTCACCGTAACTCTGGCTCAGGAGGCAAAGAGAGCCTGCAGTGGACTCTCAAGATGAATGGAGGAAAGTAGGTGCCTTACTGCTCTATTGATGTGGACAAAATGTACAATATGTACAACTTGTAATGGAGTAGAGGAGGACACAGGTGCCAAACCGCTACTAGCTCAACAACAACTGGCATGCACAAAAAAATGACAAACTGCCAAGAAGCCAGATGTCCCATAAAAGCAGTGGTTCACCTGTGGTTCATGCTCTGCACGTTTTTGCTCTGCATGAAATGGACACAAAATTTCTTGTATAACACAAAGTAACACAATAGAAATGTTCAGCCAGGTTTTGGGATGGTGGGTCACATATCAGTTTAAAGGAGAAATGCGGAAGACCTATCAATAGCAGATGGCTCTGTGACTAGATACAGGACCATATATCATTTCAGTGGGATATGCATAAAACCTGTTCATAGCAGATGAGTATGTGACTAGACACAGAACCATATCACTTTAGTTAAATAATGCAGAAGACCTGTCAATAGCAGATGGCTCTGTGACTAGATACAGGACCATATATCACTTCTGTGGGATATGCATGAAACCCGTTCATAGCAGATGGGTAAGGTGACAAGATACATGACCATATATCGCTTAGTGGACAAATGCAGAAGACCTGTCAATGGCAGATGGGTGTGTGACTAGATACAGGACCGTATATCACTTCAGTGGAGAAAAGCAGAAGACCTTTCAAAAGTAGATTGGTGTGTGACAAGATAGAGGACCATATATCAATTTAGTTGAGATATGCAGGAGACATGTCAAAAGCAGATGGGTGTGTGACTAGATACAGGACCATATATCGCTTTAGTTGAGAAATGCACAAGACCTGATTGACTAGATCCAGGACAATATATTACTTTTGTGGGAAATGCAGAAGAACTGTCAATAGCAGATGGTTGTGTGACAAGATACAGGACCGTATATCGCTTTAGTTGAGAAATGCAAAAGTCCTTTCAATGGCAGATGGCTGTGTGACTAGATACAGGACCATATATCACTTAGTGGACAAATGCAGAAGACCTGTCAATGGCAGATGGGTGTGTGACAAGATACAGAACCATATATCACTTAGTGGACAAATGCAGAAGACCTGTCATTAGCAGATGGTTGTGTGACTAGATACAGGACCATATATCACTTTAGTGGGAAATACAGAAGACCTGTCAATAGCAGGTGGGTGAATGACTAGATACAGGACCATATATCACTTTAGTTGAGAAATGAAGAAGACCTGTCAAGACCAGTTGGATGTGTGACTAGATACAGCACCATATATCACTTTATTTCAAAAATGCAAAAGACCTCCCAAAAGGAGATGGGTGTGTGATTAGATACAGGACCATATATCACTTTAGTGGGAAATACAGAAGACCTGTCAATAGCAGTTCGATGGGTGACTAGATACATGAACATATATCACTTTATTTGAAAAACGCAAAAGACCTGCCAATAGGAGATGGGTGTGTGACTAGATATGGGACCATATTTAACTTTAGTGGGAAATGCAGAAGATCTGTCAATAGCAGATGGGTATTTGACTAGATACAGGACCATATATAAATTTAACGGGGAATTCAGAAGACTTGTAAATAGCAGATGAGTGTGTGACTAGATACAGGACCATATATCACTTTAGTTGAGCAATGCACAAGGCCTTCCAATAGCAGATGGGTGTGTGACTAAATAGAGAACCGTATATCACTTAAGTGGGAAAGGCAGAAGACCTGTGTACAGCAAATGGGTGTGTGACTAGATACAGGACCATATATCACTTTCCTGGGAAATGCAAAAGACCTATCAATAGCAGACGGGTGTGTGACTAGATATAGGACCATATATAACTTAAATTGAAAATGCAAAGGCTCATTTATAGTAGTTGGGCGTGGGAATAGATGCAGGACCATATATCACTTTAATAGGAAATGCAGAAGGCCTGTCTATAGCAGATGGGTGTGTGATTAGATACAGGACGATATATCACTTTAGTGGGAAATTATTTGGATAATTTGTAGACCTTTTATGTTTTCACAGGAAGAAGACCAGTAAAGTCAAAGCGTGGACAAAGATAAACTTGCATAAAAATAGCAAGCAGTAGCACAAAAATTCTTCCCTTTTTTGTAGATATTTCCCAAAACACAGCAAAAAGGAATATGAAACTTACATCAATAGATAGAGGAATATTTACCTTTTCAGATGCTTCCAAGGTAGCCCGATTTGGAAAGTTTTTGCCCCTTTTATGCTCAAAAACATGGAGCCATCTTTTCATGGAAAGAGCACGGGCAAAGTGTGGACAAAGGGGGAACTGCAGGTAGGTCAAAAACTCTTGCCCTCTTTCACAGATATTTCCCTTCTTTCACAGACATTTCCCTAACTACAGCTCAAATTTGGACAGGAAACTTACATCAATGAATAGAGAAACATATACTCTTTCCAGTGACCACCAAAATCAACCCATTTTGACTGTTTCATAATATTTTATGTCGGCTACAGAGACACAACATAGCGGCAAAGGCAGAACAACTGCCTTGTGTACAATCTGGCAATGAACAAAATAGGAAGCCTCTCTACTTTTAATCAGGGATATAACAACTGCCTTGTGTACAATCTGGCAATGAACAAAATAGGAAGCCTCTCTACTTTTAATCAGGGATATGTCTCTTCTATTTGGAAAAATAGGAATAAGATTTTTCAGTTGATTAGATAAACTTATATCTTACCAATGACACCAAGATCAGCCCATTTTGACCATTTTGAGACTATTTAGCTTCAGATATATACAGAGACACAACATATACGTAGTGGCTGAGGCAGAGCATCTGATGTGTATAATGCAGAACTGAACAAAATAGGAAGCTAAATTTGTTTTATGTTTGCAACTATTGAAATCAAATTTTCACGAAAGGATATAAAAATATGGACCCTTTCCAATTACACCAAGATTGGCCCATTCAGATCAACTGCCTACCTACAGTATTTAAACTTGAAAATAGAAACTCCACTTTTCTGAAAAAAAGAGACTAACTAACATGTATAATGGAGGAAATACTATTATTTATTTGGCATTTTCCAAGATAAAGCATAAAGCGACATTGGACAAAGCATAACACATACACTGAAATCATGAACAGAAACATTACAAATGCCAGGAAAGGAAATAGTTCATTCAATAACTGCCACCAATAGGTCTTCCACACACATATACAATAAGTAATTGCAAAAGGAAGAATTGGTTCATGAAATGGCAAATAAATAAATCAAACACAGAAAGGCATTAAATTAACAAAAATAAAATAAATCTAACACAAAAAATAAAGTTAACAGAAAGAAAATACATTTTACACAAAAATACATTAACGAAACTGAAATAAATCTGACCAAAAAATACATTAAATTAATGAAAATAAATAAATCTGACACAAAACATACATTAAATTCACGAAAATAAATCTGACACAAAAACATACATTAAATTAATGAACAGAAATTATTCACACTAGCAAATGACATTTAACCCCTAAACATCAAATGGAATGTATTGTGTAAAAACATGAAAAAAGAAAAACATCATAAAATACAGTTGAAAACCAACAAAAAGAAAACATCCTGCTCACATGGCAAATCTCAGGTATCAAAATCCCTGCATTCTTTGCTCCCCTACACCAAACAACATAAGTCTCCCCCCATAACTTGCCAGTCCCACTCGACTTCAAATTCAAACTTCATACTTTCAAATTTCAAGTGGGTGACATTGGTCCAGTGTTGAAGGGTCATTTCAACCACTTCAGTTCTCAAAAGTTCAGGGGGCTCATCCATAGTGCTGCAGCCAAAAAGCCATGCATGCAAAAAAATCGATAAAGAAGCAAACATAAAGAAAAATGGATAACAAGTTATACCGCCCCAGCTCTAGCGCTCTGCACATACATGTGCACCAAGAAGCCTGTATGTACAGGAACACAATGTATTGTAAACGTACACTGTACATGTACAGTAAACTTATGGTGGCTCCACATCACGCGATGGTTGTAAAAAGCACATGGTGGGAAATTCACTAATAATCAACAGAGACCATGCAAAGTACGGCATTTCCGCTGCAGAACAATTTTAAATTCTAAGTACATCCAATTGTGCTTATGTATATTCTGATTTAAAGTTATGTTTGCCAATCTCCGAAAAGCTATGCCCTTATGTTCCATATTAAGCCAATGAGGTCGTACATGGCCGTGCAAAACTGATTTTGATTGGATGCAGCAATCCAGCACATGACAGGATTTGGTTCGATCACATTTGGATCAATTTTAGATTTTATTTAGTCTCATACTCAATGACCCAACTTTGCTTCAAATACAGTCCAACTACCATGTGTCAGCCCATTCAGAACAATTTTAGATAATTTAGTCTCATACTCAATGACCCAACTTTGCTTCAAATACAGTCCAACTACCATGTGTCAGCCCATTCAGATCTATTTTAGATTATTTAGTCTCATACTCAATGACCCAACTTTGCTTTAAAAACTGTCCAACTACCACGTGTCAGCCCATTTGGATCAATGTTAGATTATTTTGTCTCATACTCAATGACCCAACTTTGCTTCAAAAAGAGTCCAGCTATCATGTGTCAGCCTATTCGGATCTATTTTAGATTATTAGTCTCATATTCAATGACCCAACTTTGCTTCAAAAAGAGTCCAGCTACCATGTGTCAGCCCATTCAGATCTATTTTAGATTATTTAGTCTCATACTCAATGACCCAACTTTGCTTCAAATACAGTCCAACTACCATGTGTCAGCCCATCCGGATCAATGTTAGATTATTAGTCTCATATTCAATGACCCAACTTTGCTTCAAAAAGAGTCCAGCTACCATGTGTCAGCCCATTCAGATCTATTTAGATTATTTAGCCCATTCAGATCAATTTTAGATTATTTAGTCTCATACTCAATCACTCAACTTTCCTTCAAAAACAGTCTAACTACTATGTGTACCATTGAGGAGAAAAAAAATATAGGACACAACACGGACACAAATTTAAACTATCGATCGCCTTCATCCCTGGATTTTTTCCTCCAATTGGAAATATGGATAGAGAAACATGAACCCTTTCTGGTGACACCAAGTCCAGTTTGGATCATTCTCCGATTATCAAATCTCATATACACATATAATGTACATATTACTCTCACATATTACAACGGATATATTACTCTCAAATTGGAAATATGACATGAAGATTACTTGATGACAGACTAATGAGCATGTGTAAAATGGGAAAACTTAGTTACCCATTAATAGCAAGTAAGACTGGCCAAAACTTTTGCCTTCATTCACAGATAAGTACGATAAAAGCCATGTTCAGATTTTACAGAACTGTACATGCATAAGAATATATATAAATCTTGAACACACCTTTTTATTATCAAGCTAAAATCAGAGCATAATATAAACTGTTTCCTTACCAATTGAGGAGTGTAACGTTGCCAGTAAAATGTCTTCGATGTTTCAAAATCCAGAGAACTCTCCCAGGACTTCTTCTTGATACAAATAACGAAACAAAAGATATTGTGTTTTGATCCCAGTCCACATGATTACTTATGCAAGCTGCAATTTTGATATGGCAGGCTCCTCAAAACATGGACCATTAGATAATGTTCATCTTTGGGGGTTTATTTCTCCAGAAGTGAGCAGCAGTGAATTAATTACCACTGTCTGATAAAATGAGGAAAGTCATGGCTGATATCTGGAAAAATGATGACCTTGCTCATCTTTCAACTTTAATTTGAGTTAATTAAGTCTTAAACGTCAGCATTTTTTATGGGCGTTGAAATCACAGCCAATAAAATTTACCGAGGAGTGAAAATCCCTTTGTTTATTTTGCAGAGATTTATACATGTACATGGTGAAAGGTGATAATATTTATACATATTAAAACATATTAATTGCCAGGCCAACTTATGAATCAAATGTAATTGTAAACTAAAAAAAATCCACTTGGGTTGGTATCATCAACTTAAGGCTATTTTCCAGGAGAGTTACATTCCTTCAGCATTACCCTCCATTCAGGTTACCCTCCGTTATATTGAGGCAACCCAGTTTGATAGGCTCCAGTTTGATATGTCTGAATACACTCCATTTGTCCTTTTACACAGCCAGTCTGTTGTTAGTGTTAGCAATCTCTGGAAGGCTGCAGCCAAAGTTTTTCTTAAACTTGCCATAAATCTTGCCACTTCAAATGTTAATTCCATCCTCCATTTTAATCGAACATTAAAATAAAGCACCCCAGGCCAAATATTTTCTCCAAATGTTATTAGATAAAAAAGTAAGAACTTCAACACGAGGATGGATTACTCTGTTACTATGGTAGTGATCGCATTTCCCACTCAGAATAAAGATTGCTTGATGACCCTCCTTTAAACTAACCTGTCTTGTTCAAATCTTGCTTTTTACCTTGGTATACAAGATTTGTTAGGAGTTCATTTTTTTCCTCAATGATGGCTCAGAAAATTGGTGCAGGCACTATATGTGAGCGGAGGTGGAGTCTCTATTATCATTAAGAGAAATGGTTTCTCCAGGTACAATGGCCTTTAAATCACTTTTTGTGAATGAAGACAGAAAGAATGGAAATTTGCTTTTAACATGTCTAAAGGAAACAAGATTGTTCACTTTGTGATAAATTTTGCAGTCTACTAATAAAATAACAGCAACTTTGATGAAAAGAAATTTATACATGTATGTACACGCACCTTGAGATGCTGGCTTGTGGTACACAATGGAATCAATCTCTTTTGGAAGAGGTGTGGTTCTTTGGAGAACTGGTGAGTGTTAACCAGTGTTGTAGCCGAGACCTTAATGTCCAAGACCAAGGCATTCAAGACCAAGAGCAAGACCGAGACACACTCCTTCAAGACCCAGACCAAGACTACTGAAGATCGAGACTGAGACCTGGACTTCCAAACTGAGACCAAACTTCAAAATTATATACATGTACTACCTCTGGGAAATACAATGTAGTTGTAATGAGCGGCAGACTTCTGTTATTTCAATACCATTAAGCAGGTGTATGGTTGAATTACACATCGGCCTACAACCATGAACTCCCAAGCCTATTTTCACTTAGTTTCAACTGAAATATATAGCAGCTGGAAAGTGCATTCATGAGTGGTAGCTACAGATGCACATTTTGCTGTAGTCTCGAGGGGGGAAACCCGAGATTTTGAAATACGAGACCAAAACCAACACTTGACACCGAGACCAACCCTTGCGAGACCGCAACTTGGATAGGACGCGACCAAGACCACATCCACAAAAAAAGGTCTTGAGATGGTCTCGATAACGAGACCCGGTCTCGAGACCTATGACACTGGTGTCAACTCAACGTTTCGGCCAGGATGATCTGGTTGTCCTCATGAGAATAATCCATGTGGTGCATAGAACGGGATTCGAGGGTTGTATATAGCTTGCTGCGCAAAGGTGTTGCATCCTGTGGTGGTACCTTCCTTTAGAAATAAAGAAATACCTACCTTTTATGAACTGTCATTTGTCTTTTTTGTGAAGATGAATACAAGAAACACTGTGAGATTGACTGTGTGTGTCGTAGCAAATGGGGGAGGGGGTGCAGCTCCACCCCCCCCAATTAATTCCAGTCAGCAATGCTTCATCGGCAAATGAATCCATAATGATACATAAATGATATAAATGTACATACATTGGCCATCGGATTTCCCCTGAAGCATAAAATTTTGTAGCATTCCATGGATTTCCATTTTACATGACATCAGGTTGGCAAACAAGTTACTTGTCAGCAAATTGACTCTGGCAACCCCCCGGGGCCCCAATAAAATGCCTTGGCTATACCACTGACTGTTTGTGTAACGGGTTGGAATCATCCACTTTTAAGTTTCAAAAGTGACAGCAAGATTCCACCATACAATTCCTAACAGTTGAAATAATGAAGTTGAATAAACCCTGTGCACAAGCCCTAAGATAAAATATTTATTCAGCCAATGAAAAAGGTTAAAAACATTGGAAATTGCCCTAAAAATACACATTACTGCATAACTTACCAAATACACAGGGAAGATTACAATTAAAACAAATTGTAAGCACGAACTGCAGAGGGATAATAACTCTCTGTAAAACGCTTGCTACCACGAAATGTTCCGAGACATTGATTGGAAGGAACATGAAGCATGAAGGTAGAATCTACCTACATGCATGAACTTGAAGTAGTCATTAGCCGGATGAGACTCATCTTGCATGATACACTTAACACGTTTCGCATTCTACAATGTACCCAGAATGAGGAGACGCAAATATATAGTATTCCTGGGGTCATTAAGAGAGCGAGAACAGCATTTTGGTGATGAAAAACTTACCGCCTGAGAAAGCTCCTCGTGTGGTCTGGCTTTTTTAAAATTTAGTACGCATGCGCTTAGTGAACGTGAACGTCAGTAAAGCGAACGTCCAGGTACAAGTCAACCCTCTGCTCGGAAAAAAGTAGCAAGAGGGCGCTAGGCTAGCAACTCGCGCCAAAAAAATCTGAGTTCGGGTAGCTGCACGCACTTGGGCCCTTTTCCAACACTCGACTTGGGCTCCGTCACAGGCTTCGTTCCGAAAACCAATCCCCGATTGTGGGCATGAAGCGTTTAAATTAAATTGGATTACCGTAATTCCTGGCTCTCTTGCATCTTATTTGATGATTTGGGGCACTACTAAACTAATTACTGCGCTTACAGCTTCAACCGTCAGCTATTTAAAAAACAGTTGAAGCCTGAGACGGAGCCGAATTGAGTATTGAAACGCGGCCTTGTTCTCGTATTATGTTCACGAACAGCTCGATTGTGTTCACTACTGGTCGGCCGCTCGAACGCCAGGAATGTACAACTTGTTGTTGCATAGACCTTGGCCGCATCCATGTAGGCCTACGTCTTCTTTCAAAGTAAACTTTGGAAAGCTGGGCTGAACTCTTTTCTATTTAAAAAGGAACATTTAGCTTTGATATGGAAAATGACAGAGGTAGCAGCAAGCCAGTTTTTGCAACTAGTCAAGTCATTATATGCAAGTCCAAGTCAAGTCAAAAGTCATTATATAGGTTCAGTCACAAGTCATTTGGTCACAGGGCAAGTCAACTCAAATCACAAATCATTTCGTCTAAACACGAGTCAAGTCACAAGTCTCTTTCACGGTCCATAAGTACAAGTCAAGCTACACATTATTTTGCCCAGCTGTAATAAGCAAAAAGAACCAGGTGTCAACTTAGGCCTACGAAGTTAGGCCTATTTCAGACAGCTGAACACCTTTTCTCCAATTTTTGTGACAATAATTCCCCTTTCCGTTTGTGCTGTAATTACTATTCTTGCAGTTTATTACATATCTGTCGTTTAACTTAATAAATGTACTTTGCATGGTAGAAAATAAGCGTTGAGGTGAAATGATGACATATTGAGGGCGCTGTCTATCCTAGTCGCGTCAACAAAACTCGCGTAATACCATGCTGCACTGATCTACTGCCCTACATGCACGTTTGGTATTACATATTCAGCGAACTTGGCGAGTTATATCCAAAATCTTTGCTCGAAACAAACCAACTGGCCTCGTTTCTGACTGGCCTTGTTTTTGACTGGCTTTGTTTTCTCATCCTGATATCTAAATTAAAAAAATAATAAAATGAAGCAACACTCCTTGATCGAATACTGAGATTACTTTGAGAGCTGAGTAGCTAGCAATACAGGACTATACTTCAAAGAAATTACATGTATTCTGTTTGCTGTATCTGTTCATCATCATTCACTGAAAAGCTATTTTATTATTCACATCACATGCTAGCTGAATCAGTTTTACGCACAAACTTAAAAAGACAGGATTAAAATAAGTTTAAACAAAAAGGGTCTTACAAAAAAAAGAAATGGGAATAATATCAATTACATGTACTCACTTTAAAATAGCACTGTCACTAACACTATACATGAAAAAGGACTTTTGAATTTAATTCTTTCTGATTCTCTACTCAGTATTAATCAGCCTTGAAAAGCTACATTCAAAAAGTTATTTTATTACAAAAGAATGTGTCATGACATTTATCAAGACTTTATTTCTCTGTACATCATCTGTGACTCAAGTGAGTTGAATTTATAACTGGGGCACCTGGGGAGGCACACATTTTATAAGTCCTCGTCATGCCAGTGATGTGCATATGCATGTATATAAAGAGATAAATGTTGCATGGGTCTTGTCACGTTGAAAAATATCAGCAAGTTAACCAAGTGTGTTAGTCAGGGTATATTGTCCAGAGCCTGGAAATAAGACTAGAGAAGCTAAGGCCTGACATTATTCTAGCATTTAACATCAAAAAGCCTGAAATCAGGTTTTATCTGAAAACATTCATGTCAGGGTTTAACTAGGTACAGTAAAAGTCTAAAATATTTGCCAAGCATACAAAACTACAGTTTCACCATTTCATTTGAAGAAGCCTGGATTTTTTCCCCAAACCTGACAAAACTCATTCTACAAATGAAAAAACTGCAAAATGAATATCCACTTCCAAGCCGAAGTAAAATTCTGTTCAGTGTTTACAGATGGGCTGGACAAAGAGCAGCATTCAACAAAATCCAAAACCAATATGCTGTGGAGAGTTCAAATCATGGCAGGATTTACTTCTCACAAGAAAAGCTGTCTATAGACAGAGTAGTGCCTGGAAACAAAATGGCTGTTAATCTGTTCAGTAGAGCTTGTGGCTATCGCATACCAACTGTACACACACACTGATGAATACACCTGCCAATTAGATTTCAACAAAGGTGACACTTATGCCGTAACTCTCATTCAGTGAAGGAGACTGAAGGTTGCAGACTACAGCAGGATTACTTCCCAAAGAAGGTATCGGGGAGAGTCTTGGCCCCACACTATGACACATGAGATTGCAGATCACACCTGAAGCCTGGTTACCTCATCTTGGTCAAGACATCACCTTGTAAGATGGATGACAGGAGAACTTTGTCCTGAAGTGCAGCCTCCACTTCATTCTCATTTAGTTTCAATCTGATCTGGGGTTGGTGTAAAAACAGACAAGACAGATGAGAAAGAACCCACTCAAATCAAATCCAATCCAACTAAATCAAAGCTTTTCTTGGAAATGAAGAGTGTGATTCCAAAAAGAATACTTCTGTTTGGGACTTGATACAATTCCAAATTTAATCTCTGAAAAGTTAAATTTTGAAAAAAAAACACAAAAATGTTACAGCCCTAAAAGACAGTTATAGTAAAGTGAATACCTTGGACTGCCTGGGGTCTTTGGAGAACTTGAGACCGATCACACCTCTGCTTTCAACCAACTGACAGAGAGACAGGAATTCAGACTGCTCTACAGCGGGTACCTGTCTATCCTTACACACTTTGCTGTATGTCTCATGACACTGAAAGAAAAACAAGTGAAAATCTGTTCAAATGCTTTATTCATGATGAGCAAAAATGATACAACTCCCTATATGCTAGCATGTACCCCGCCCCTCATAGACACACCCCCCCCCACTACATTGTGAATTTTCAACCTATTTCATTTTAAAGTTATTTCATATCACAGTAATAGTCCACGGTATGTCTGGTAGATATTACACAACAGCAAATACACTGATCAAGGCAATTTAGCTTAATCAGGTGGGACTCTAACCCACAACCACCTGCGTATGTCTTAGTGCAGATGTCTAACCACTCAACCAATGAGCTTCCCGGGTCAGCTGGCTGGTCCGAGTCAGATATTGCAATGGATGTTGCCACCCCAAACTATTCCGTAGGTACTGCAAACTATAAATAGTTTGTGGTACCCACTGCTACTTCTGACTCAGACCAGCCAGCCAACCCCTGCAAGCTTGGTGATCGAGTGGTTGAGGCATTTGCACTAGTAAACAGAAGGTCATGGGTTGAAGTCCCATCCAATTTGAAGCTTGTGAATTTTTTCACAAACTCTCGGACAAACACCGAGTATCTAGTGTTATAAACTTAGGTGTAAGGGCAACACATGTTATTGAAAATGAACATTTCCCGACACAAAAAATACATTTTTGTTCATTATATGTACACATAGGCTTGGACAATCCCCTGCCCATGAACATAATGTACATAGCCAACACTCCCCTATACAAACATTAGGCACAGGCCGTATTGCCAATGCCCACTGCTATTCAAACTGGCAGAGACTGGGAAATTTCACCAACATAAGTTGTCCACACTATTTCATTTTAGTCATGTCAGCGTGCACATTGAGATATCATAGGCCAGTCATGTCAGCTACACATTGAGATATCATAGGCCAGTCATGTCAGCGTGCACATTGAGATATCATAGGCCAGTCATGTCAGCGTGCACATTGAGATATCATAGGCCAGTCATGTCAGCTACACATTGAGATATCATAGGCCAGTCATGTCAGCGTGCACATTGAGATATCATAGGCCAGTCATGTCAGCGTGTACATTGGTAAAGGCCTACTTGGGGACTCATTGCAGACAGTCGGCAAAGTTGTCACATCACTGTTTGCATATGATTGCACAAATTGCATATCATCAAAAACTAATAGGCAATGCTCTCTGTATCTCTCTACGTCGATACAGAAACCAGGCTCCAGTGTCTTAAAGATGCTTACCTTTCCTAGAGTGATTTCCTTGAACTTGCCACCTCGTACCATCAAGAGCACAGTACATATCGTCAGTTTCTGCTGCAGAGGGAATGTCTGAGATTGGTTGGAACTGGTTGTAAGACTGGACCCATAAACCTCTGATATAACACTTGATACCTGCTTCAGACCAACTGTCTTCACCCCAGAATGACTGCTCACTGTTGCACTTGAAGTCTGACCAGTTTTTCTCCCTAAACCCAAAACAGATCCAAAATGAAAGAACCGGTATGTTATAAAGTTACGTAAAAATAAGCAAAGTTTTTCTACAAGCAAATTCAGCATGTCTATACATGTACCAAGAAATGGATATCAACAGCAAAACAAATCTTCCTTCAATACTGGAGATTATTTTCTATGAATGCAGCGTGTAAATAGGATTCTTGGCAATATAGGTACCCGATGTTAACAAAAAACGGGTACCCGGTTCTAAAAATACCCACAAATGCACACCCCTAGTCAGGAAAGATGACATTCCAAGGCATATTTTTTCATTTTTCGGTGTTAAGGCCTTGGTAGGAAACTGATTGAAACAGCTTCTTTACTTGACTGATTTGACATCACTGCATCATTATTTAATCTCACCTGGTGATCTACAGCTAAACTGTAGTTGCCTCTTAACATCACACTCAACCATCTCAACAGCACGCCTGTAAAACAGATATTGATATTGAAGGGTAAGTCTATCCAAGTTAGGGCTGTGCCGAGATTACCAAATATTCTAATATTATCTTATAAATTTGAATATTCAAATGCAAACTTCATGAAAAGTGACATTTTTCTCGTTTTAAATGAGAAAATTGCACAATGGTGGCCTGTTTCAAGCAGATTCTAGTGAAAAGCGACAGAAATCTTATAATTCAAAAGTTAAATTATTCATTACAAAAATTTTAAGGAATGGAGATTTTCAACAGGACAGGAAGTATTGTTCATATCTAAATCTTGCTAAATCGTGGCTGGAGATACATGTATTCTTAGATGTGAGAAGCCATTACAGTGATTATAATGTCAGGGGTTTAGATAATTGTCTTCAAGCCATGAGTACAATATCCACTTCCTTGGTCAGAGTAGAGTACAGTCATCTTTTGCCCTCAGTATTGTATTGTATTGTACTCTTCTTCTTCATGAGAGGGAGAGTACTATACTGCTGCGGACGCCATGTTGACCAGCCGCTGTGCGCACACACCCGGTGGTACATGTAGTCATTCAGAAAATCAAGGTGCACTTCATTACTCGGCAGTCAAATGTACTTACACTCATAATCTAAACCTCAATCTTTCTACGGTGTTTCAGACTAATAGTTTGCAAAACCGATACCTGGTTTTTTGCAGATGTACTGGAAAGCCTTTAAAATGCCACTTGAAAAAATGCCCATTTTAGCAGATCAAACTTGCAGAAAACTTAATGTTTTTTTCCGCAGAACTTTCGATGAGGAGTTCAGGCAACTCAAACCCTATCCATCAAAGCAAAAAAAGTGAAAATAGTGTGGTTCCCATGTGCTAGAAATCAATTTTACTGCATCCTATCTTTGGGAAGTCTAGTGACCAACACCTTTCACTTCAGGTCTTTCCCTTCAATTCAGGATTTTCTAAATAATTCATCACGGTTATGCACGGGGCACCTTTGCATCTGCTACGAATGTTACTCTGTTGAGCAGGGTGTATGCTGCATATTTTGACCAAATTTCCGAGTCAGGAAGTGCATTATGCCAATACACATGTTATCTAAACCCCTGTAATGTACAATTGTGAGCATTATTGCAACTGATTTTGTATATGATTTGTTCATCAACAATCTGCCGAACTGTACAACTGAATATTTGGATATTCAATTGAATTGAAGGTCAAATATTCAGATAGTGAATTCTTCGAATTGACTCAGCCCTAATCCAAGTAATGACTACCGGTCTGTTTTTGAGTTTAGTCTTCCAACTAATCATCTGGTACTTCAATCCACTCAGTCATTACAAAAACATTCTAACAGCATTTAGACACTAACAACTGACAATCACCAATCTACAATTAAGAGCCCTTGACCAATCAACAGGCAGACACAGTTTGAAATCAGAGTCTCGGGTTCAAATCCAGCAGCAGGCTTTGTTCAGTGAAGTATATTACCCCATCCACTCTATCATATACTCCATCATACATATTTTCAATGACATTAAATGGTTTACCCTTCACATAGGTAATGTGGGAGCTCTCTAAGCTCAGTAGTTTTTGAGAAAATATCAAATACTTCTAAAGTATTTTCTTAACTTACTTTTTAACACAGAGTTGAATCCAAAATTTGTATCTTTTGGGGATAGTACCCTTTGGTACCTAAAAGCTTTTTTAGGGTTGGCTAGCAAGTAAAAGTACAATATAATGTCCTATTCAATGGCCTCTCCTGAAACATAGCAAGCATTCAGCAAATCATGACAGACTTACCTGCAAACATCAAGAGCTTTCCTGACGTCCCCAGCCACTGCAGCTACCTTCCGTGCACACAGTTGCAATGCGACTGGTTCTACAACATTCTCATCACAATTCTGCAAAAAATTCAAAAGAAATGATTATCTTGATGGCAACAAGGTACATGGTTTTATCAGGGCAGGCTGCCCTGCCAAAACTGTATAATAATGATTGATTGACTTATATAGCGCAAATTCTGTAATGCACAAATATGCCCTTTCCATGAAAACATTAACACTAAATCATAATTGAAACAAATTAATAAAGGGAAAATTAGAAAGTAAATATAATATATAACATTCGACGACAAGACTCAAAATCAAAAGAATCAGCAAACAACCCCCTCACAAAAGAATTCTGACAAGCAGACAATGTGCACACCCTTTTAACACCCCAGGGGTTGAAATTAACTGTGGTCTGGTAGCCCGAGGCCGGTAGAATAGTCATTTATTGGCAAAGATTAAGCCCAGCTTACCCAACGAGAAATAACATTGACAGGGGCAAGGAAGAGGCATGTTCCAACGAGATTTGCCCAGGACTGTAGCTGCGCGACATAAGAACGTTCCCAACTGTAGTTTTGCCACGTGTGCGCAACACACGGTGGGTTAACGTAGAGCGTTTTTGAAACGAGTGCACTCGACTCAGACTTCAGTTTTGCTGGTTCCAGTCAGAGCTTTAAAATGTGGTTTTGAATGCTGTTTCAAAATGGCTGGAACCAGTGAATCTAAAAGTCTAAGCCGACTCCTTTCGTTTCAAAAATGCTCTATGATTTTTGTTTTACTGGTCCCAGCCATTTTGAAAGCAGTGTTCGAACCGCATGTTCAAGACCTGACTGGGACCAGTGAAACAAAAGTCTAAGCCTTACCAACTCGTTTACATGTATGTAGGCCCCAAACAAGGATTGCTCAATGCGGCTGTGTGTGCAGTTCTGGTAGGACCACCAAACTCTCAGCAGAACCAGTGGAAATTTTGAAGTACTGGTCCTACTGACTACCAGGAAAAAAAGGTTAATTTGCACCCTGATCACCCTGAGATCCCTTCACACTGACACCCTTAGGAATTAATAGAAGGCATGCTCGAACAAACACGTTTTCAATAATCTCTTAAAAAATGGCCAAGCTGTTTTCCATTCTAATATGTACAAGCATGGCATTCCAAAGTTTTAGAGTAACAGTAACAAAAGCCTGGTCCCCGAGTGTAACCTCAGTGTGGTAAGAGGGGTATTCCAACAGTGTATCATCAGGACAACTACATGTACATGTACCAAGAATGCAATGAGATGAAGTCTTCTTTACGATAAGTCTGCTACATAGATTGGAGCCAAACCATAGAAGCATGTATACCAGTAGGCCAGCATTAATATTTTAAAATCAATTCTAAATTTCACTGGAAGCCAGTGCAGCTTAACCAGCAATGGTGAAACATGACAAAACCTACTCAACTTGTAAACAAGTCTAGCACAGGCATTCTGAGCCAATTGAAGTTGATTTATCTGACAATCAGGTAGACCATATAAAAGACTATTACAGTGGTCCGACTGGCTAGAAATGAAAGCATGGATCAATGTTTCAGTGCACCTAGTGGACAGATATGCCTAATGGCTAAAAACTTCACAGCCCTACTAAGTTTTCTTAGTGGAAATTCCCCAATTCCCCACTGTCTTTACAATTTATCGAAGAAAAAAGTGTACTGCAATCAGTGGAGTGAACATGAAACATCAGAAAAAAGTGGCCAGGAAATGCCTCAGATTGCACAACAGAGCATCTAGAATCCAAAAATTTCCAAGACTCTTCAGTGAGCCGTGAGGGCTTTAAGCTCTGCACCCTGCCACCCTGCTAGAATTTCATATTGGGGACACTGTCTTGATTTCTATTACACCTGCCACAATACAGGAAACCAACTGGCCACTTATCCCCTCCCCTCCCTCCCCCCAATTCATCAAGTAACAGATGCAAGGCTGTACTTTCTTAAATCCTCAACAATCCTCAACAATCCTCCATGTGAATTTCAATCAACTCAAGAGGGTTAGGGAGAAGACTCTTCAGGATGATAATCAATATGTATTCAGCCCCTCAATATTTCATTACCAAATTTCAGTGAATACTGTTTGACTTTGCTCAGTGCCAAGTCTAAAATCAACCATTTATGGTTGGTATGAGATTTAGTATATGTCAATAGGTGAACTCAGTGCTTACATAGAGCCAATGATTTTCTGCGATCGCGCGAAAACGGACGGAATTCACAGAATCAACACTTTGAAATGGAATCCACAGCTTGAAATGGAACTTGCACACTTTCCCTATAAGAATGGCTTAAAAAGTAAAGAAAACTTTCTGCAAATTCAAAAAAAATAAATGCCTACCAAACCCTTTTCAAATGCTTGCTTTTAATGAACGAATTATGCTGGAAACATGCTAAATTCCACCACCCCACCGCATAATTGGGTCGTCCGCGCCAATGCCGATACTTGTAAGCGCTATGGCGTGCGCGGGCCCCATTCGTGCAGCAGCAGCTGCCACACAGCGGCACAGTACGGTACATTGTGTATACAAACATTGGCTATTCACACGTGCACTGTACTAGCAATGAAATCAAGGCGCAAGCAAGTTGTTATTCACACATATGACTATTGCACATGTGGGAAATTTAGTCTGTGAATCCGTAGGGACCCCTTGAGACAAGGCTTGTACCACATGGTGAAACGATGAAACCGCTGCAGCGAAACGAAAGACTAATTACATATTTCTTGAATTGAACGAAACCTTGTAAGCTTGGTGTACTGTAGCTGAATGGACCCTTGCAAGTTTTCAATAAAGAGTGAAGTTTTCAGTCACAAACATACATTTCAAGGCTCAGATTTAATGTTATCTTTCTGAATTTTGTCGCACAACTGCCAAATAAAATGGTGGGTCGATGTTCAACATTAACATATTGTGATCAACGACTGTTACATGCAAGACCTACTCTGTGACTTCACTGTACATGTACATGTATGTAATCTGATTTCATACACAAGGAGTGGCACATGAATTGTCCGTTTATTAATCGTAGCAAGTTTTTGGTGATTGTGTGCCGGTGGGAAATCAAGGGATAGGGTGTGCTGTATTGTCTGGATTTTTTTTTTAATTTTCACTACAGAAATTATAAAACGTTGGAAAGATTGAAGAAGTTCTCCGAACAGTATTGTTGCTATCTTTGTTTCTTTTCTCTCGGGGGAGGGGGGCGATGTGGTTGGGCAAATGGTTTCCGTGCATAGTTTAAAACTTACTCTTCTATTTCATGCTTACGAAGGTATGAAACGGAATTTGAATCCTGAAATACAGGATTTGGCGAAATGGAAAATACCCATTTTTGAAACGGAAAATCATTGGCTCTAAACTTACATTCTGTACCCTGTCCAGCAATATGGCAACAAGCTCATCCTTGGAATATGGTGAGAAATGTAGTAACTCAGGCTTACACTTCGGTCGAGCTTGAAGACGTGGTAGAATCCTGTCAGTCAAGTCCAATGCATTGGCAACACCTGTGGACCAAAGGCAAGAAAGAAACATTAGAATAAAGAGGAATGACATAATTTGGGCAGTTTACAGTTTGCGTTTCTGGTTAATCCACATAAAGACATAATCCTGACAGTTACATTGTAGGTTCATATCATCGGTTTGACCACAACGGGACCTACAGGATAGCTTTTGTGCACCATGAAGTGACATACCGTCTATGGACTAGTACACACGATACGCCAGTTTGTGGTGCAGCAGCAATCCACGAAATGTCACTTTGTGGTAAAACCCACGAAATACACATTGTGTATATTGGTGTGCATGCAAATATGCTATTAAATCATGTTTGATGTCACTGTCCAACTGTATTATTCACATTGGTTCTACATTTCTGTAAACTGGGCTCAATTTCATGGTGCTGCTTACCGCAGAATTCTGGGCTTACGATCTCCATTCTTCGCTAACTGTGCTAGCAGAAAAATTCTGAACTTACCTGTTAAGCACAGAATCCTTAGTTACCAAAAAAATTCCTCACTAACCCATGAAATACGTTCACTATAAGTACAGAATTTCCTGCTATGGTAAGTGCCAAGTTTCCACTTGCAGTAAGCAGTGCCATGAAATTGGGCCCTGATCGAGATTATCATAATAATCATGTTTGATACACAAGTTCCAACAGCTTTACAATTCGTCAGTTTCACCACAAAATGACGTACAGGATAGTTTTGTTGCATCACAAAGTGACGCACTATCCACAGACTTTGTACACACAATACGCCACTCCGTGGTATGGCAACTATCTATGATATATCACTTTGTGGTGTAACTGACAAATTATATTAACTAATGTAATCCACACATGTATCTACTTTTTCCAAAGCACCTTAGGAAGACATTTATTACAACTGGAACTCTGCTTCAGTATTACCTAAGACAGCATCAGTTATTACTATGGACATACCAATGAGAAGAAGTCTTGATTTGGGAAGTGATGGCCATTCAAACATTGTGTACAATACTTCTTGACCTTTACTGTCTAGATGGTCAATCTCATCCAACACAAGCACTCTGCAACACAACACAAACATGATTAGAAATACAGTTACTCCATGCTCCAAGCAAACATTTTTTAAATGAAATCCTTGAAAGTACACCTTTGTGTTCAATTTAATTATACTTTCACATTGTGTTTTTTTACCTTGTTAAAGGATATTCAAGAGGGGTGATTTTTATGCTAATGTAAAGTTGTTTACTCATGAGTCTAACTGTGATATCATCCTAGGAAAACACCTCAATCTCAGAGTTATCCGAGTCAAATTCTTCAATCATTTACACCCCATTGCATTCTGCAGACACAATTGAGCCTTCACCAGCATTAAGGTGGCACTCAAGGTATGATTATTTCCATGAGTCAGTCTGGAGTTTTCATTGTACTAGCATGATTTAGTTTAGATAGTGAGATCTAGCTTACATCATTTGTCCTGCTGATGTGAATGTCTTCTGTAGTCGTCGTGAGGCTTCCTTGGCACTGATCTTGCCTCGATGGTTGCCAAGAACTTCCTCCAAAATTTTACCATAGATTCCTTGACTATGTCTTACAGACATGCAGTTCACAAAGATCACTTGAGCTTTGCTCATCAATTTCTGCATTTGAGAAAAAAAAAACAATAAAGGCACTGATTATTAAAAAAAATCAAACCAAACTTTGTAGGTCAAGAGACCAGCCAAACCCAATTGAATCCACTAAGAAACACTCATTGACAACATCATAACTGCAAATACTGATGATGCTTTGATGCTCCTACAGATGCTTGGTCAATGACCAGTGTCAAACATTTTGAAAAAGATACCGAGGATAACATGAATTTAAGGAATACATCAGTTTCTTCTAGACCAACCATACATGTGCAAAACTTCAAGTTTAACAGACACACTGCTTTTGGCATTCCAAGTTACATGTACTTACATGTAGGTAAAGTGAAATCTTATTGGATCCAACTCGGATACAGCGTTTTAGCTAGCAAGCTGTGCAGCCGTGTTTTGCAAAGCCAGTTTGTGAAATCATGGCCCATTTTTTCAAACACAGCCTGGCGGTGCAAATCAAGCCATGCACTACTTAATTCGATGCTTATGCAATTTAGATCCAAACAAATGTGAAAATAAAATCTGAGCTCAAGTTTAGTCTTTTCCCATGCTTTTTCCTGGCCCCATCAACCAAGTCCAAAATAGAAAATACGCTGCAGTAAAGCTGGGACTACGGTTCACACGTTTGGTTCAAATGCATCAATGCCGGTAGGTGGGTTCCCTCACAAATAATTAACTACAACACCATATCTATCAACTTGCAACAAAATGAATACAGGGAGCCATACTTGTTCACCAGCTATCGATCGTACATGTAATCAATCTCATTCCCATGGCAATCATTGGCTGCCATATTGCGCCCACTCTCACATGAAGTAGTCCATGGGGACAAGGTTCAAATCATTTCGGGGCTTGCACGGCGTGCTCACTATATCATCCAGAATGAAACGAAAAATAACGGATTTCTTCATGAAGGCAAGGGCTGGCCTAAACATAATCTTTGTTATTGTCAATAATCAGCATACATGTAAAACTTCTTAGGTTCTTCTACCTTAACGATGGAAGATATTGTTGAATTCTTCTGATGCAATGGTCAGACTCGTGCACAAGCGCAAGCACGTGGCATGCCTGGTGTTCGTGGGTGTGTGTACAGTGTGCATGTACATGCACTATTCATGTACGTCATGTATTTTTTATCTACATTGAAGTCAAGTCTTGTACTCAATTTGCTAATTCCTAGCCAAATTGCCAAATGAAGCATGCATGTAGGAATACTGGGATTTATTTTGTATCTTTAATTTGTTTGTTTATCACATAATAATCTGAATGTACTGTACTGCAAACAAAAAGGCACAAAATGTGTGTCAAGTACTGACCTGCATTATTACCTGCATACCATTTTTTAAAAACAAAATAAAGTGGTGATGAGAAATCTGTTCAAAGGTGTGTCATTATTCGCTTCTCTGTTGCAGGGCTGTTTAATCACACTATATAAACCAACAATAACACACAGTTTTACAATTTAATTTTTTTCTAGAGGCTGTTAATTTTTTGTCCGAAAAGGCAAAAGTCTCAAAAAAAGTCAGAAATTCACCAAAGACCACCAGAGACTGAGAGAGCATCTTAAATAGGCAGACACCCTGGATTCCGGCTAGAAGGGACTTTACGCTGCACGCTCGTGTTGGGTGCTTAAAGTTCGCACACAAATTTTGGACTGTCACAAGATTGCACTCGCTGTTTTTCATTTTGCACTCCCACTTTTCAAATCCTAGCTACATGTAAAAAACTGCTAGGATAACTCAAACTCCAGTTAAAATTTGATATAATCTTCATTCCCGCCCAAAGAAAAAGATTTTAGTACACAGATCATGGAAACTTATCACTGCTGTAATATAATGCATAGGGGGGTTGAGGGGAAAACACACACTGTATCTGGTATCCAACCTGAAACCTGCAACTAATCCTGGCTTTCAGGTAAAGCCTGACTGCTATTGGTGGCCCAGTCATATCCCACACAGACAGTCCAATCACTGGCTCTTGCCAGTGACATGTGATCCAGCATACAGGTGCTTGGTTTCTGGATTGGCCTGTTTGTTATCAGTGGTCTAATTGCAGAGTGCGCCCTCATTTAAAAGACCCAGTCATATCATCTTGAATAGATAGTCTGCAGAGCAAGCAGATGTGTTATGCATCACTAGCCTGCTGTGCACCATGTAAATAAAACAAACTTAAGAAACAGCAAGTTTTAGTTTAGTAAATATTAACCCTAACCAACCCTCAGGCTCTCTTACAAGGAACCATCCTGAATCCTCAGAAATCCTCCAACATGTAAAAATTAATTTCAGCCAAAATCCTCCAAAATTTCTTGAAAAAATGTTATTTGGGGGTGTGCCTAACTGCCCGAACTGCCCGAATTCTTCAAAATCCTCCAGCAATTCCTGTCATTATGTTGAGGCAGTGTGGACTAAGCACAAACAACATAAGGTCTAATCCACGACTTTCACGTATGGCATCCTTAGAAATCAGCACTTTTGCCATACACCCAAATCCTCCAAATTCCTTCACTTTGCAGAAAAGGATTTTGGAGGATTTGGGAGGGTTAGGGTTATAAGAACAAAAGGATGGTTTTTAACCAAGATTGCCCATTTTAAGTCCATCAAAAGAAGCAAACAGACACTGCGTAAAAGCAAAACCCATCTCAGTATGCATGACTCACAGAAAAATCGGAAACCTTGCTGAACTCAAACTTCAGATAACTAGTTTTATTTATTCCCCTAAGGTTCGACTTTAAAAGATTTCATTTTTCGTGTACATAAAAAATTCCATTCTTCCCATGGAAAATGGAAATGAAGAGTAACTTCAACTAGAACAGCTTTGAATTGTAAAATCTAAGTTTGATTACAGCACGATGTCAAAAAGGTTTTAATCAGCACACCGTGGCGTGCTCCACAGCGCCAAAGGTCGGCATGCCAAGCTGACCAACCCTCAGCGCCGCCGACCTACTTAGTGTTCCTGCATAAAAAAGGGTACAGATTTGCATAATGCTTTCATGGATGACTGCATTCCGGATACTTGTGGGCAGCCACAGTGTGCCGACAGAATCACAGACACTCATTCAATGCTGGCTATTTTCACTATTAAAGGCTTTCGCTTTCTGTTGGGCAAAAAAGCACCTTTGAATTTGTCCAACAGGTGAAACAAAATCTTGGAGTTGTCACAATAGTCCACTAACAACAACGCTTTTTGGAGAAACAGAAGGCTCACTCTCCAAACATTTTTCTGTTACTGTGTATGAACGGATGCCCACCGCCTGGCATCTGTGTATCACCTTTAAACAGCCCTATCAAACCAGTCATCAACTGCCCTCCTCCACGCTCAACTGTCAACAAACCGATCGCCGAGATGCAAACAAGAAACCAGAAACCAATCGATATATAAGCTCTACATATTCTTAGTTATCATTGGTTATAAAAGTTGAAAGCCTGCTACCCCTACCATCAGCTACTTAAGACAGTGTCAGTCATTGGCCGGTCACGGTGACATCAATTATTACATTCCCTTACTGTATAGTTGGCGCTTTTGATTGCGAGTAGACAAACCCAGTTAAACTACCACAAGCCTGAATATATAGTCAGAGAATGTATTTGAAATAGAGTGTCATCATTAATGTCATCAAAAATTGTCCAGATGAAAAATTTAACATTCTATATGAGCTGAAGGCTGAAAAATTTTCAGATCTGGAGATAGGAAAACGAGTATATTCCAACCGTGAAATTTGATCTCACAGGACTCACTCTGTGGCTGAAATTCACAATGGACATCGGTGCGGCGTGGCACGCCTTGTGTGAAAGAGGAATTTCCCTATTCATGCTGCTTGTTAACCTAACAATAACGAGCACACAATAGGGATATTTAACGAGCTGGAGACTGATCTGGGTGCCAAGCTGCTCCTCCTGCAGAGGGTGGACAGGTGACTTGGAAAAATGTGCCGCGAGGTGCAGCGGTGGCTCGCAGCGTGCTGATAAAAATCTTTCTGACATTGTGCCTTAAGATGTCACTGTAAGGAATGCAAGAGCCCAGTGTTCTTGATTTTAATATGCTACCATTACCTTCTCATTATTTAAGACCTGGGACAGGCATGCCGTCTTGCCAGTTCCTGGCGCTCCTGAAATGTACAAACTACCAGCTTGAGCCTTGGTCACATGACTCCTTAAGAATAATGTCATCATTCCAAGTTCCTTGTCTCTACACAGCAGACGATCAGGTAGAGCTGTATGGAGGGACTGCTTGATCTTCTTATAACATTCTCCTACAAAAAGAGTAGAAAACAGATGGACCATTGAGAATGTTACAATCTACAGCTACTGCAAATGAACATCTGTCAAAGAGAATGAGTCAGGAATAAAATGTTCGTTTTAGGTACATGTACATCAGGTCCACATACTCCTCGGCTACCAACAGTTTTTGATAAGGGAGTAAATATCAAAACTTACAGATCAAAACCTGCCCACAATTTTGCTCGTAAATATTACTTTATGTTTTGTGAAACCTCCCTCTAACCACATCTGGGTACATGTACATGTATGTGCCTACACATGGAACATGAAACTGTCTTACATGGACAGTGGTACTTATGGAGCGAATAGTGCCCACAGCCTGCAGTGCATGTACATGTATTAATCAATGAACAGTTTCAACAAACCAACAGGGCTTTTATTCAACAAGACGCGTATCAAAATAAGTGGTACAATGACATTCACAGTGCTAAATTGAAGTCCATGCAACCCAAAGTTCATGACAAGTAAACTTGCTCATCCAAACGGACCCAACTGTAATGTTTCAGTTGGGCTGCCTAACTACATGTACATGAACAGTATGATCTGTTCCTGTTGAAGTGCACCCTCACTAGCTAAGAAGAGACCGGACAGTGGGAAGTTTTCCAAACTGATATGTATACACGCCTGGCATACAAGCAGAGATCATACATTCGACTGTCACACTCTCATTGTATCCTGCGCCAAACGCTTACTAACTTGAGTGTGTAAGCAACAGATTCCCACCAAAGGATTGTCTTTGTTATGAAAAAGCACACCCTCTGTTGTTCCTGCTCAGAGTGGATAGTGCAACAGCGTGTGCCATAACATAGCCTCCACCGTGTCATACGCATCGGTAACACGTGTAAGCAGAATCTAGTTTTTGATGTCATCAATGAAATGCAAACCGACATAGTTTGATGCTTTCTGCTTAGTATCTGCGGCAAAACAAGGGAGAATAAAGTTAGGAATTTTTTCACCACATGCTGCCGGGTGCTTTTAAAAATGGCACTGCACACGTAAGGACGATTTTCAAGATTTTCAGTTTTCAAAATTTTTCAAAAATTCATCATTTCATGGACGTTTACACGAATGACTGTTTGGTGGCTTTTCTAAGCTAACAGGTGACCTTCACTGACGCCTGAATATTTCAGCCAAGCCTGCCGCCCTGTAAAGAGAGCCAAGAATTGTGAGGTGTTGCGCAATTTTCTTTGTCCCCAGTGAATGCGAGTGGCATCTTTTCAAACGTGGCTGAATTAGCATGCAGCGGTGCTTTGTCACTCATCAATGGAGCCCGAGAGCACTTTTGTCCGCGGTGCTAATCCGCGAGCAAGCTATGCCAAAAACAGTGGTACACTGTTTAAGAACATATTATTACCTTCGAAAAATGCAAGCCGAAAAAATGATGGCAATTCTCAGCAGCAGGTCTTTTGTTCCGAGTACGGTCTTGTGTTACACGAACCAGCTCTTTTGTCCCATTTCGGGCACCCCTGCTCTGCTTATAAACCCATGGTGCTCGAAACGGGGTTCCCTGGCAACAAGTGGTTAATAGAAATTTGGCAACTCTATAGAGTCCAACTGTAGTCCTACATTAAGACCCATCGGTATAATTGAGGCATCGTGTACTCACCCTCATTTTTTTCAAGCTTCAATGGAGTAATCGTCTTGTTCAGAGATCCCCTTACTGTTGGTGATGTAAATTTCTCCCCTGTGCTATCCTTCCTGCTTCTCTGAGGTGATGCATTGCACTCTAACTTCACACATGCACCTTTTGCTGGGCTTGTCTTCACATGATGCACATGACAGTTTACTGATTTCAAATCTTTGGAATGATTTTGTCTAGGACTGACAAAAATATCTGCATCATCAGCAAGAACAGAACTGTCCTCAATTACGTCAGTGACAGGAATATTTTCTTTCTTCATCTTTCTAGGGCTGCAGCATGGTGTCACACGTCGTTCATCATTTGTTGAGACTTCTGTGCATGCAACATGAAAAAAAATCAACTGATTACCATTTGAAAATAGAAGTTAAGTCCTGCCTCAATGCAATGCTAGAACAAACCTCACAGAATGTGAGTTACTCAATTAAAAAAAAACCACCATAACATGTGGTTATAACAAGTAAAAAAAAAATGTCAATATTGTTCTTGTGGCAGTGCACAATTACATTGTATCTTCGATTCTCAAACTTTTTGTTCATTATCCATTTGACCTGCATGTGTATGGACCAGTTCAAATGAAAATGCAATTGAACAAAAGATGCATAGCAAATTACTACAGAACATGCATGACTGATCATACACTTAAAAGCTACAAGAAATTTTGAACTCATTGTTCTGATGGCAGCACATTTTTATGCTGTGACTTATTTTACGATTGTCAGACAGCTTTCTGCCCTGTGCTGGGGTGTGTAAGCCTATGGGATTTGTAAGATCAAACAAATGGGACTGTCGAATTATCTTGAAACATCTTGCTGTAAAGTACATGTACATGTAAGTACACACGGTAATAGTGTCAGACAATCTGTGAAATCCTTTTCATTTTCGAGAATTTTTTTCTCAGAAAATTTCAACTATTGCAACCGTTAACAGAGCTGTGCAAAATGCCAACACACATCGATTCACCTAAAGTCATTATTAGCTTATAAAATAGATAAAGAACCATAACTAACGACCTGAAAGAGAATTTGGCCTGATCTGAAGTTAAACTTTATTTATGAAACTTTGGAAGTTTACCTTATATAAATTACAATTTATATCATCTCGGTTTCACCCCTCCGTCCTGAGATCCATGGTATTTTGCAAGACAAATATAAACGAACTGAGCACTGAGTGATAAAAATGAACAGCATTTTTCTCGATTTTTCTCGGAGCAGTGTACTCAAAAGCTGAAATAGTCCCTCGAATGACACATGTACATAAAGTTATTAAGTCACAAATCCCCAAATCAGTCAATTTTGGCAAACCACAGTACATGCAAATCCTGCACAGTACCTAAACGTATGCTTTCATTTCGGAATTCCCACCAGGAGCGCCGGCCAACTTCAGAAAATAAAAACCTTGTGGTTTTTAAGTTGGTGGCAGATCCTGTTCGAACTGGAAGTCGACCGGTCAGTCAGCGAAACTCGGCCACATGCTAATTCCAAGGGAATCGCCCTGCCAAAGATTGCCAGCCGATACGCAGAAGATCGGGCGTATTCATGAGGTTTGTATTTGCATTAAGCTTGCATATTGCATTCCATCCACGGAGCCGCTGGGTTGCTTACGGCTCTTTTGTTTGGCAGGGATTAGCATGCTCTCCACGATTCCGCGCAATGTCCGCAAAGTGGAACGCTTAGTCAATTTGGCTATGACACCTTAAACAGACATTAGATGCAAAAATTTATAGGACTGTTAATTAAGAGCAAAGTATTGTACTTTTTGGTCGATTTTTGGGCTTTCATGATTTTTGACAAACCGTTCAAAAATGTGAAAAGTCTGCAACAAAAATCTAGCTGGAAGAAAATTTCCTTTCTAGATGTTTTCTGAAAACAAAATTTTGTACAAGAAGCTTATATTTCACTTTTCTCACTGAACTTGTTTGAAAATGTAGAACACAAAAGAAGTAGTTTTAGAAGCAGAAGGAAAGAAGGTTTATTTCAAGCAATCTTTTCCATTTAGATAAACTGTAAAGAGAGTGGAGAATAGGGAAAATCTAATTGCAAAAATACCAGGGCAGTGATATTTTTGGCGGGGTGGCCAAAAATATTTAGTGAGACTAAATTTTGGCAGGGCGGCCCATCCTGCTACAACCCCCATGGAGAACACTGATACCAGCTGCAATAGAGGGAAAGAATACGTTGAAATAAAAAGGCACTTTCCTGTTTTTGATAAAAAGCTGGGTAATCACCAGGTCTTCGTTGACTGGCTTAAAATTTTCTGAGCACAGCTTACCTTGCAATAAGGTTCTTTTTCTAGGAGAAGACGGTAGCATCTGACCAGACTGACTTGCTGCATCACACGGTGATGATTTTCTTCTAACACATCCTAAGTGATGTGAAGATGATTTCTCAGGAGTCTTTGTGCCTTGTACTTGGGTTTGGTTTTTGTCATCTTTTTGGGTTCTACACACTGTAGTCAACTTCCTTACTTCAGTTGCTTGACTTCTTTCCACAGATGCCCTTTGCGGAGTCTTGCCACTATTCCGTGTCTTGCGGCACTTGAAAGGTAGTGGGGTTTGTACTTGTCTTGTTTTTACAGGCATTGCAACTGCTGTGGATGGTAGAACAAGTCAAATTAAAAACAAAAAAAAAATTCATCAAAATATTTCCTCGTTCAAATGCAACACAAGTTCAGACCCAGGTATAATAAAGTCAAACTTCCAAGACATTTGATGAAAACCGGAATCTTTCACCTGACATCCTGGCTCCTTTGCCCATTTTTGGAAGCAAGGGATTGCATCTTATTCTTATTGAGCAACCTAAGCTGGACCATCAGGACATGCGATATGTGCTGCACTGTGTAGCTGTGACAGATTGCAAATCTTAGAAAAAAAAAACCCGCCTCAAAAAATGGTCGAACCAAAATGCAGATAGGCAGAGCAAGCTCAGCCACTGGCCGGTCCAACAAAAGTGCAATGTGATAAATATGAACAGCATCAACAGCATGCTCGTCATCAGGTGGGAATGAGACATTGGTGAATAAAAATGTCAGGTTTTCAAAAGTATTGGGAATCATGGTCTGAAATCTGTTTCACCATTTTCAAGTGCTACACGTACAGTGCAGGTCAGAATTTTACCCAACACGCTAACATAATCAGTGAACCTGACACGCTGTTCAATGCAAGCTTTGTGGTTTTAAGCCTGACCCTGCACCTCATTAACTCGGCAGGGCTTGTGACCGCAGACCACAAAGGCGATTTATAACGTGAAGTGAACCACTGCACACGCAGAGCCATCACTCCAGTTTCGTGTATGCGTGTACACTATACATACATACAGAACATGTACATGTGTACACTGTACGGCAGTGCACTAGACTGAATAAGTGAAATCACATACTGTACATTGAACATGTAGCACCTGGCTGGCCGCGCAAGATGACTGTCTTGAAGTATTGAAGTATGCATCACTATCATGGCCGTTTACTTTTGTTTTGTATCATGAAAGTTGTTCAGTCGGATTACATCTGGAAAATGTCAAATTTCAGTGAAACTGGCCAGTAGTCCACCGTGTGTTTGGCTAACTAGAAAACTTTTCCCCAAATGTAAACTTTGAATTTTAAACTCACGGGATCGACTGGAGTGACGACAACACTTTTCTTGCTGGTTCTAATGCCAGATAGGTTCCATTCAATTGCAATTCCTGATTGAAGCAGGGTTCGAAATTTGTTTCTTTAGAGGCCTAGGCCATTTTTGCCTTGGAGAAGTCAAAATTTCCATGGGCACCAAGGCCATTTAAAAGGGCACGGAGGCCATTGTCAAAAATTGATAAGGGCCCAAAGGCAAATTTGTCAAAACACAATCTGTTCAACCTCTAAAATGCATTCTTTTGCTTTATTGTGGAAAAAAGTTGTCCAATAAGCAGTCAAAACCCAACACCAGGAATTGTTATACTCTATGAACAGGGCATGAGTTGCACATACATGTAAATGATCGTCAAATTAATTTAATTTTTTTTCCTAACACTTGAAAATGTGTGCACATCTCGTTTGTTGACTTACAGACTTTCAAGTTACCAGCTATATAATCTACACTGTATCCAAGAACCCTGCCATCCCCTTAAGAAATTCCGCCCACGATAAGTGGGTGCGCCGAAATGTTCAATACGCCAAAACGAAATTGCGTATATACCGATGTGTGGCTAAGGATGGATCGGCAGGAGAGTCCGTGCCACACTAGTGGGGGTAAGTATTGGCGTGCATGTTATTGCGCCCTGAACAGTGCTGATTTTACACTGTTTTCAATGGGGCTTGAATTGGTGGACTGTACCCGTCAGTAGTTGTGGGGCCAAGGATACGGAGGGAGTCCAACAGACTAACTAGGATAGGCCTTCACAGCCCACACGCTATAGGCTTGACGTTGATACTACTACTAGTATGATGTACACTCGAAGATCATGAGAGACGACCGCGTCAACACTGCAACTTGGGCACGAGTGCAACACTAACCTGCCAACAAGTCAGCAGGCGGCATGGGCATGATCGTGGTCAAAAGTTGAAGAATTTACCTTACCTTTGGTCGTGATCCTGGAGATAATCTTGACACAACCAGCTCTAAGACGTCTATGTGGTATTTATCGCGCCAAACTCCAACGAAAAAACCGGAAATCGTCAACGTTTAAAGCTAGTTTGCTACTTCCGCACGTAGCCAGCCGTGTGCGCGTCAGTCACTTTTTTCGCGGGAATTTTTTTTAAGTATCCAACGGCTGTTTCATGAAACAACATTTGTAAGGCAAAATGCGCATACGGTCAGTCAGAAATCAGTCATCTGCTGAAGTTGGACAAAAATCGGCTACTGAGGGCGCTACAATGTAATAACGTGCCTGATGGGTCCAGTCCACAAATTCAGGGTGCACCACTACAGGTAAATTCCCATAGACAGCAGTGATAAATCCC